GTTGGACGATCATTTATTTTTCAACAGGACAATGACCCCAAACACACCTCCAGGCTGTGTAAGGGCTATTTGACCAAGAAGGAGAGTGATGGAGTGCTGCGGCAGATGACCTGGCCTCCACAGTCACCGGACCTGAACCCAATCGAGATGGTTTGGGGTGAGCTGGACCGCAGAGTGAAGGCAAAGGGGCCAACAAGTGCTAAACACCTCTGGGAACTCCTTCAAGACTGTTGGAAAACCATTTCAGGTGACTACCTCTTGAAGCTCATGGAGAGAATGCCAAGAGTGTGCAAAGCAGTAATCAGAGCAAAGGGTGGCTATTTTGAAGAAACTAGAATATAAAACATGTTTTCAGTTATTTCACCTTTTTTTGTTAAGTACATAACTCCACATGTGTTCATTCATAGTTCTGATGCCTTCAGTGAGAATCTACAACGTAAATAGTCATGAAAATAAAGAAAACGCATTGAATGAGAAGGTGTGTCCAAACTTTTGGCCTGTACTGTACATATATATATATATATTGTAAACAAAATTTACACAAACAGAATATATACAGTCAGGGTGAACGGGGTTATTGCACAAGTTAAATTAAGTTATTGCAGTGTGTGAAAGTCTCAGGGCCACTCAGAGGGAGGAGTTGTACAGTTTGATGGCCACAGGCAGGAATGATTTCCTGTGGCGCTCAGTGGTACATCTTGGTGGTATGAGTCTCCCACTGAAAGTACTCTTGTGCCTGACCAGCACATGGTGGAGTGGGTGTGAGACATTGTCCAAGACAGTTCGTAGCTTAGACAGCATCCTCCTCTCTGACACCACCATCAGAGAGTCACACTCCGTTCCCACAACGTCACTGGCCTTGCGGATCAGTTTGTTAAGTCTGTTGGCGTCCGCCACCCTCAGCCTGCTGCCCCAGCACACAACAGCATAGAGGATAGCACTGGCCACCACAGACTCATAGAAAATCCTCAGCATAGTCCGGCAGATGTTGAAGGACCTCAGTCGCCTCAGAAAATAGAGACGGCTCTGGCCCTTCCTGTAGAGAGCGTTAGTGTTCTTAACCCAGTCCAGTTTACTGTCAATGTGTACCCCCAGGTACTTATAGTCCTCTACAATGTCCACACTGACCCCTTGGATGGAAACAGGGGTCACCGATGTCTTGGTCCTCCTCAGATCCACAGCCAGTTCCTTTGTCTTTGCCACGTTGAGCTGCAGATGGTTCTGCTCACACCATGTGACAAAGTTATCCACAACAGCCCTGTACTCATCCTCATCACCCTTGGTGATACATCCAACTATAGCAGAGTCATCAGAAAACTTCTGAAGATGGCAGGTCTCAGTGCAATAGCTGAAGTCCGTGGTGTAGAGGGTGAAGAGGAAGGGAGAGAGGACAGTCCCCTGCGGGGCCCCGGTATTGCTGACCACTCTGTCTGACACACAGCGTTGCAAGCGCACATACTGTGGTCTGCCAGTCAAGTAGTCTACAATCCAGGACACCAGGGGGGCATCCACCTGCATTGCTGTCAGCTTGTCACCCAGTAGAGCTGGACGGATGGTGTTGAATGCACTAGAGAAGTCAAAAAACATGACCCTCACAGTGCTCGCCGGCTTATCCAAATGGGCGTAGACGCGGTTGAGCAGGTAGATGATGGCGTCCTCAACTCCAAGTCGGGGCTGATAGGCGAACTGGAGGGGGTCCAAAAGTGGCTTGACCATGGGCCGGAGCTGCTCCAAGACGAGTCTCTCCAGGGTCTTCATGATGTGGGAGGTCAATGCCACGGGTCTGTAGTCCTTGGAGCCACTGGGACGTGACGTCTTTGGCACAGGAACAAGGCAGGATGTCTTCCACAGCAAGGGGACCCTCTGGAGACTCAGGCTCATGTTGAAGACATGCTGAAGTACTCCACATAGCTGGGGGGCACAGGCTTTGAGCACCCTGGGGCTGACACCATCAGGGCCTGCAGCCTTATTTGAGTGGAGTCTCATCAGCTGTCTTCTCACATGGTCAGCAGTGAAGCACATTGTGGAGGTGACGACACGTGGGGGAGGGGTGTAGTCCTCATGATGGAGAGAGCAGTCAGTCTGACCACGGGGGGATGAGGTGTGAGGAGGAGGAGGAGGAGGGGGGGTCAAGCAGGAGGGTGTTGAGGTGTGAGAGGGAGGAGTGGGGGAGGAGGGCAGAGTGGGAGATGGTTGACCAAGACAGACAGCAGAAGAGTCAGGGGGGGGATGGGCAGGGCCAGCAGTGTCAAATCTGTTAAAAAACAGATTCAGTTCATTGGCCCTGTCCATGCTGCCTTCAACTCCTCTGTGGTTGTTGGTCCTGAAGCCAGTGATGGTCCTCATTCCACTCCAGACCTCTCTCACGTTGTTCTGCTGGAGTTTCCTCTCCAGCTTCCTCCTGTACCTCTCCTTAGCCTCCCTGATCTTCATCTTCAGCTCCCCCTGTATTGTTCTCACCTCCTCCCTGTTACCAGCTCTGAAGGCCCTCTTCTTTGCATTGAGGATGGCTTTGATGTCCTTTGTTACCCACGGTTTGTTATTTGGATAACAATGGACAGTCCTGGCTGGGACAGTGGAGTCCACACAGAAACTGATGTAGTCTGTGATGCATTCTGTGAGCCCGTCGATGTCCTCCCCATGTGGCTCACAGAGTGCCTGCCAGTCTGTCACCCCAAAACAGCCCTGCAGTGTCTCATAAGTCTCCTCCGACCATCTCCTCACTGTCCTCATGGTCGCAGGCTGGCTCTTGACTAGTGGTACATAGCAGGGGTTGAGGTGCACCAGGCTGTGGTCTGACCTACCCAGAGGGGGGAGGGGGGAGCAGCTGTATGCATCTTTGGCGTTTGCATACAGCAAGTCCAGTGTCCTCTCCTCTCTGGTAGGACAGCTCACATACTGTGTGAATGTGGGCAATGTTGTTGCCATGGTGACATGGTTGAAGTCACCCGAGATAGCTATGAAGGCACTCGGGTGTTTAGTCTGCAGGCGGGCTATGGCGGAGTGAATGACATCACATGCCGACGTCGGGTTGGCAGAGGGGGGGATGTAAACAGTTACAATAATGGCATGTGAAAACTCCCTGGGCAAATAATACGGCCTGAGTCCAACAGCGAACAGTTCAATGTCCGGGCAACAGATACGTTCCTTAATGGAAATATGGTCAGGACTGCACCAGCGGTTATTTACTAGAACAGCAAGCCCCCCTCCTTTGCGCTTACCGCTCTCGGTGCAGTCCCGGTCGGCCCGAACAGTCTGAAAGCCGCTGATGGAGACGTTGGTGTCGGGAATGTCCTGGTGAAGCCATGTCTCAGTGAAGCACATAAGACTACATTCCCGGTACTCCTTCTGACTTTTGGCGACCGCTGTCAGCTCGTCCATCTTATTTGCCAGTGACCTCACGTTGCCCATGATGAGAGAGGGGAGACACGGCTTATATCTTCTCTTCTCCATAAGCCTCCGTTGTCTCAACCCTGCTTTTTTCCGCCGCTGTTTACTTCCTCCCCTGCATCCTCTGTGTGTTTTCCTCCACAGTTCAGCTGGTATCTCCGATGTTCCAGCTGCCAAGCCGGCCGGCCTCAGTGCGATCAGCTGATCTCTGGAGTAAACAATGCGGCCATGAAGTTGTTGCGCAATGGTGCCGGGTCCGAATGAAATAAGTAATTCCAGAGTGAGGAAAACGAGTACAACTCTCTCAATCAGCATGTTTTGAGAGGGCGCAGTTCCAAAATTACAATCACAAAAAGCCAGCACAAATACCAAACTTAATAAAGCAAAAAAGTAAGAAAACCGAGAAAAACAAGCAGGAGCGACTGCAACAGGCTGCACGCGCGGGCGGGCGCATGCGCTCTACTGGAAAGACTGCTTTCAGTCAGTCTGCGTTCTCTGTTAAAGCTGTACTAGAATGGAACTCAATCCCAGCAACTATTAGGGAACTGGACACAAACAGTTCATTTAAAGTTAATTTAAAGAAATGGTTAATTACTACTCAGATCAGTCAGCACTAAAACTCAGTTACAACTTTTTGTTCTCAGTTTGTCTGTGCTGAACTTCCCTTGCTGTCTGCTGTCACCTGTCGCCATCTTGCTATTGTCAGTCTGCCCTCGTGTACCTGCATGCATGTCTTTTATTGTGTGTTTGCTGGCTCAGACTGCTTTATCTTATATACGGTGCGTGCTGTGTATGTCTGGGCTCATTGTATTTGTTTATGTCTTGTATTATGAGCTTGCATGTTGCATGTTCTAAAATACTGTCACTGTAGGATGTCCTGGGTGTTCTGCATGTTTAGAGATGATGAATGGTTCTGTAATTTCAATTTTATATTTTATATATATATATTTTGTTTTTTAGGGTGAATGACATATCTTCCAAATCCACTGCCGCAGGTTTGGAAGATATGTGATCTTTAAAAAAGACTCACGTTTCAAGCCCACCACGGGTCTGACCTAAACTTTTGTCAGAAAAAAAAAACAAAAAAAAAAAAACATCTGGTCCAGATTTTTTGAAGAAAATATAACTTTCAAATCCACGGCGGGTCGGGGGGCACGTTTTCTTTGAAGCTGAAATAAGTCTCAGTACAGTATGTCAGAAAAGTGACGGACGCCGCAGCTCAGTGTGTCAAGTCACATTAAAAAAAGATGATAATATAGTATCGTGTGTACTGTGGCGATCCTGTATATTTTTTAATATATTTGTTAATAAGACGGTGGTTATCAGCTGATGGCTTGCTCACCTCCAGACACACCCATCAGTGCTATCGGCCAGTGGGATGGCTCCAATCAGCTGAGCCCAGGTAGACCGGCCCCTACATTATGCTGCTCCTGGCAGTATGGCGAGAGACGCCGGCGAGTGAGAAATGACCCAGAAGTCCTCTGCGTGTTCAGCCTACCACGGCATTTTACACCGTTCAAAGTCCGCAAAATACGTGCGTTTCCCTGTGTAATATCTGAGTAAAAAATGATACAGTACGTCATGTGAAATAAAAACGTCCCACAGACGACTGACTGTCACTTTTTTATTTTCACGTTTCAAACGTTCACAGGAAACACCAAGGTTATTATCAGTCACACAATACTGATTACATCACCCTCTGACAGTTACTTCCACTGACTTCCTGCTTCCTGTCAGGAGGGGGGCCCGTGGATTCAATGAGCCCAGAGTCACGCTGTGACTGGATGAACAGCTGCTGTCACTTCTCTTCACTGATTGGTTGTCGTGCCTTCACTGGCCTTGATTGACAGCTCATTCACTCTACTGTTAGCTTGAGGGCGGGACATCTCACAGCTTTGAGTTAGCTTAGCTCTGATGACCTTTGACCTCACACACACAGGTTGAACGAGCCAGAATCAAATAAGAGCTAACATGCAGCTAACATGACGCTAACATGACGCTAACACAGCGCTAACATGGAGCTATCATTGAGTTAACATGAAGGAAACCCATCACTAAAATACAGCTCACATACCTAGAGCTAATAAAAAGCTAACAGAGGGCTAGGCAGGCCTTAAAATGCTAGCGTAAAGCTGATATTGACCTAGCATGGAGCTATTCTAGTGCTAGTAAAAGTTGATACAGAAGCAGCATAGAGCTGACGTAGTGCTAATCTACAGGTGATGTAGGGCTAACACACAACTGACCTTCCATGAAGCTAATGAAGAGCTGATGTTTAGCTGATGTAGCTAATTTAGTACTAACTGAAGCTGACACAGAGCCAATATAGAGCTAACACACAACTGACATAAAGCTAATATAGTGCTAATAGATCTAACTAAAGGCAATGAAGAGCTGATGTTTAGCTAATGTAGCATGGAGCTAATGTAGGGCTAGTGAAAGATGACACAGAGCCAGTATAGCGCTAATATACAGTACTTTTTATACAGTACTGCTACCATGGAAGTCACATAAAGCTAATGTAGTGCTAAGTAGACCTTACACAGACCTAGTGCTAATGAAAACAATGGTATCTGTTTGGAGCTGTTATTGATACTCAACACTTGGCATTTGGAATGTAGTATTCTAGCATCAGTGTGTATCAATATGTTCCAGTATTTCAGGTAACGATCCACCCACCTCTATCAACCACAAGAAAAATAACATAACATTTAGTTAATTAAAGCTAAGATAAAGTTAACATTTAGCTAATTAAAGCTAAGATAAAGCTAACATAGCTAATTCAAGCTAAGATAAAACTAACATATAGCTAATTAAAGCTAACATAAAGCTAACTTAGAGCTCATTAAAGCTAATATAAATCTAAAATATAGCCAATTAAAGTTAACATAAAGCTAACTTAGAGCTCATTAAAGCTAACATAAAGATAACGTAGAGCAAATTAAAGCTAACGTAAAGCTGACACGGCTTATTATGACTAACATAAAGCTAATGTTGAACTAACAGAATTAAATACAGCTAACAAAAAGCTAATGTTGTGCTATAGAGCTAAGGTAAAACTACAAAGGGATAATTATGGCTGATGTAGAACTAGCATGGTGCTAATTACAGCTATCATTACGTAACAGAAATACTTAGACTCTTCCTGTAAACATAAAGTAAAATAAATAAAAATCAGTGATGACTGCATCCCCGTGTTCAAACACCTGTCACTGAACGTGTCACCAACACCGTCCAATCACATGGTCTGAATTTTGATAGTGGGCGGGGCTTCACTTAAGTTTAAAAATCCCAACAACCATCAGGACTGCCTGTCGTTTGTTTTCCATCGAAGGTGCCATGAAGAATTCCAGGTTTTCCAGCATGAGACGTTTCCCTGCAGTTACTGATCATCAATGATCAATAATCATATAATACTCTGTCCTCCGGTCATCAGAAGGTTAGCTCCGCCTCCCCGCTGCACCTGCAAACAGGTAACGTTTCCTGTTTCTTAACGTAAGGTTCAGTAAACACTCCTGTTGTCACTGACATTTTAACATCTGGAGAATGTTCTCCGGAGGTTCTCTGTTGAACATCTGGAGAACACGATGCTCAGTGATGATATCACAGACTCTGACATCATAACGGGTCATAAAGACGATGGGTGGGGTCAGCGGCGCGTCCATTTGATCAGAGTCTCCGGAGATCGATACAGGAAGATGAGTTTGGCGTAAAGCTCCTCCTCCAGCTCCAGCTCACCTGTCTCTCTCACCTGAGACAGGAAACAGCCAATGAGATCACAGTGCAGTGACCAAACAGGTGAACAAACCACAACCACATGTGATACGTACCAGGAAGATGTCGGTGCACAGTTTGAGGATTCGGTCGACACACGGCAGCTCCTCGAACATGATGGAGTGACTGATCCCACTGAAGAACTCACGCACAAACTTCCCGATGACCAGAACCACTGACGCGTACAATCCCATGATGCTGCGGGAGGGGGCGGGGACAAAGACAGTTACCACAGTACCACAGTTACTATGGTACCTAAAGTACCACAGTTACTACGGTACCTAAGGTACCACAGTAACTACAGTTACTACGGTACCTGAAGTACCACAGTAATTACAGTTACTACGGCACCTAAAGTACCACAGTTACTACAGTACCTAAAGTACCACAGTTACTACAGTACCTTAAGTACTACAGTTATTGCAGTAATCAGAGTACTATGTACCCGTATCCAGCCAGGAAGCCAAGACTCGGAGGACTGACTTTATCACTGAACACAAACAGCTGAAGCCCCGCCTCCCTTCTGTCAGTCAGAGAAGCTCCGCCCCCAATAGGTACCAGACTGGCAGCCGGTTGGTCAACGATCCACCAGTCCTGGATCTCTCTGCTCTCATTGGTTGACCGCTCCAGGGCCAGCAGGATGTCTTTGTAGTGACCATCTGATTGGAGCAGAAAGGAGAGTAGGAGAATTCTCTAAAGTTCTTGTCTAAAGTTGCGCTGTTGTTTAAAGTTGTCTGAAGTTTTTGTTAAAAGTTGCATTGTTGTCTAAAGTTGCGCTGTTGTTTAAAGTTGTCTGAAGTTTTTGTTAAAAGTTGCATTGTTGTCTAAAGTTGCGTGGTTGTTTAAAGTTGTTGTCTGAAGTTGTGTTGCTCTTTGAAGTTGTTGGCTCAAGATGTCTGAAGGTGCTGCCTGAAGTTGCATTGTTGTCTAAAGTTGCTGTCTGAAGTTTTTTACCAACCATAAGTCAGTTGCGTTGTTAACACCTGAGGGTCTGACTAATACCTGGAGCAACCATTACCACCCCATCAGGTCATGTTGGGATGGAGACGCTGACGGATCAGGACATATCTGTGTCCACTCAGCTCATAGTACTTGACTCAGCTGTTAGCCTGAGAGCTAACGTTATGCTAACAACATTAAAAACAAACAGGAATTCTAATCTGACAGGACGTTCTACGACAGGACGGACGAGATGTCCACACATGTCACTGTCCCCAAATCAAAGTCCAGATTTCACCAAAGAAAAGACGCCGTGTGTGACGTTACTGCCTGAGCCAATGGGATGAGAGCTGGTGGCTCTGAGGGTCAGTGGACTTCTGTTGTGTCCACAGGACAAGGAAAACGAAGGACAAGACGCAGGACGATAGACAGACAGTGAGACAGTGACACAGACAGTGAGACAGACAGTCAGTCAGTGAGACAGAGGGAATGTGGGATGGACAGTGGGACACACAGTTGGACAGACAGTTGAACAGACATTGAGACAATGGGACAGACAGGGAGACAGAGGGACAGTGGGACAGATAGCTGGACAGACATTGAGACAGAGGGATAGTCAGTGAGACAGAGGAACAGATAGTTGGACAGACAGGGAGACAGTGGGACAGACAGTTGGATAGACAGGGAGACAGCAGGACAGACAGTTGGACAGACAGTGGGACAGACAATGTGACAGACAGTTGAACAGACGGGGAGACAGTTGAACAGACAGCTGGACAGACAGTGGGACAGACAGGGAGACAGTTGGACAGACAGTGGGACAGACAGGGAGACAGTTGAACAGTCAGTTCAACAGACAGTGGGACAGACAGTGGGAAAGAAAGGGAGACAGTGGGACAGACAGTTGGACAGACAGGGAGACAGCTGAACAGACAGTTGGACAGACAGTGGGACAGACAGTTGGACAGACAGTGGGACAGACAGTGGGACAGACAGTTGGACAGACAGTGGGACAGACAGTGGGACAGACAATTGAACAGACAGTGGGACAGACAGTGGAACAGACAGTGGGACAGACAGTTGAACAGACAATGGAACAGACAGTGGGACAGACAGTTGGACAGACAGGGAGACAGTTGAACAGACAGTGAGACAGTTGGACAGACAGTGAGACAGACAGTTGGGCAGACATTGAGACAGAGGGACAGTCAGTGAGACAGAGGGAATGTGGGACAGACAGTTGGACAGACATTGAGACAGTGGTACACACAGTTGGACAGACAGTTGAACAGACATTGAGACAACGGGACAGACAGGGAGACAGAGGGACAGATAGCTGGACAGACATTGAGACAGAGGGATAGTCAGTGAGACAGAAGAACAGACAGTTGGACAGACAGGGAGACAGACAGACAGACAGACAGACAGACAGACAGACAGACAGTTGGACAGACATTGAGACAGTGGGACAGAAAGGGAACAGTGGGACAGACAGGGAGACAGTTGGACAGACAGTGGGACAGATAGGGAGACAGTTGGACAGACAGTTGAACAGACAGTGGGACAGACAGTTGGACAGACAGGGAGACAGTTGAACAGACAATGGGACAGAAAGGGAGACAGTGGGACAGAGAGTGGGACAGACAGTTGGACAGAGAGTGGGACAGACAGGGAGACAGTGGGACAGACAGTTGGACAGACAATGAGACAGTGGGACAGACAGTGGGACGGAAAGGGAGACAGTGGGACAGAAAGGGAGACAGTGGGACAGACAGTGGGACAGACGGTTGGACAGACAGTGGGACAGACAGGGAGACAGTTGGACAGACAGTGGGACAGATAGGGAGACAGTTGGACAGACAGTGGGACAGACAGTTGGACAGACAGTGGGACAGAAAGGGAGACAGTGGGACAGACAGTGGGACAGACAGTTGGACAGACAATGGGACAGACAGGGAGACAGTGGGACAGACAGGGAGACAGACAGTTGGACAGACAGTGGGACAGACAGGGAGACAGTTGGACAGACAGTGGGACAGACAGTGGGACAGACAGGGAGACAGTTGGACAGACAGTGGGACAGACAGTGGGACAGAAAGGGACCTGTGTAGAGCTGTTCGATGGGTTTGGCGTTGGAGTCGCTCGGCGCTCGAATGAAACATGGAAACACTTCCTGTATCACCCTGGAAACAAGCACACACAAAACACACTGTAACAAACAACAACACACGTGTAGCCCTGCCCCCTGTCCGTAGCCACGCCCCCATACTCACACAGGAAGTGTCCTGGTTCCATTTAGCAGCTGGATCAGCTCCAGACGGGTCTCATCATCCAGGTAGGTCACATGTTTACCTGAAGCAAGCTCTGCCTTCGCCCCTAGACTCAAGTTCCTGTTTCCAAACAAACAAATAAACAAACAAACACAACTTCCTGCAGTTTGATCAGATCATTGACTGATGATTGATTATTGATCAGCAGAGTGAAGCTGACCTCTGAACAGTCCAGGACACAGTCAGGGGGAAGTGGTCCAGGTTGAGCACCTGGCTCAGGTACTGCCTGCTGGGAGGACTGATGGTCCACAGAGAGTTACTGCTGCCCTGCAGCTCCGCCACCGTCACGTCCTCATGACCATACGCCTCCAGGAACTGCAGTGCACTCTGGGAAACACAGGCCGCATAGTTAATGAGGGAGGACTACAGAGTGTGGCAGCAGCACCACAGGGCACTCACAGGTGTGTAGCTGACTACTGATACCGATACCGATACCAAGTAGTACTCACAGGTGTGTAGCTGACTACTGATACCGATACCGATACCAAGTAGTACTCACAGGTGTGTAGCTGACTACAGATACCGATAACAATACCGGGTAGTACTCACAGGTGTGTAGCTGTAGGAGCTGATGAAGGAGCTAAAGTCTTCCTCAGTCACATCTTTGAGCTGATTCTGCTGCGCGCTCATCGTGAAGATTGGCTGGAAGACAATAGGTCAGAGATCGTGCTACTGATACTGACACATATACTACCGATACTGATACTGACACTGATACTACTGATACTGATACTGATACTACTGATACTGATACTGACACCGATACTACTGATACTGATACTGACACTGATACTACTGATACTGATATTGATACTACTGATACTGATACTGACACCGATACTACTGATACTGATACTACTGATACTAATACTGATACTGATATTACTGATACTAATACTGATATTGATACTTCTGATACTGATACTACTAATGCTGATAATGATACTACTGATACTGATATTACTGATACTAATATTGATATTGATACTACTGATACTATTGCTGATATTGATACTACTGATACCGATACTACTGATACTAATACTGATACTGATATTACTGATACTAATACTGATATTGATACTTCTGATACTGATACTACTGATACTAATACTGATATTGATACTACTGATACTGATAGTGATACTAATATTGATATTGATACTACTGATACTGATACTACTGATACTAATACTGATATTGATACTACTGATACTGATAGTGATACTACCGATAATGATACTGACACTGATACTACTGATGGTACTGATACTACTGATACTAATACTGATATTGATACTACTGATACTGATAATACTGATACTAATACTGACACCAATACTACTGATAGTGATACTACTAATGCTGATAATAATACTACTGATACTGATATTACTGATACTAATATTGATATTGATACTACTGATACTTTTGCTGATATTGATACTACTGATATTGATACTACTGATACTAATACTGATATTGATACTACTGATACTGATAGTGATACTAATACTGATATTGATACTACTGATACTGAAACTGATACTACTGATACTAATACTGATATTGATACTACTGATAATGATACCGATACTACTGATACTAATACTGACACCGATACTACTGATACTACTGATACTAATGCTGATACTACTGATACTGATACTACTGATACTAATACTGATATTGATACTACTGATACTGACAGTGATACTACCGATAATGATACTGACACTGATACTACTGATGCTACTGATACAGATACCGATACTACTGATACTGATACTGATACTACTGATACTAATACTACTATCCACTGCAGCAGGTTAGCTGCCATACTAAAGCCACTGGAACTGTTCCCTGAGACATTAAGGTAAGATAAGAAAACTTCATTGTCCATTACGTTTACATAAAATGGAGATTTGTCTTTGGCATCTGGCATATAAAATACAGCAGGAAACATAAAACACAATAAATAATGAACATAAGTAAGAACATCAAATACATCATAGATAGCATAAAAGCAGCATTTAAAACAACAGTGATCACAGCCTACTGTTGTTGATTATTTTGGAGGGCACAAATGAATTTTTGTAGCCGTTCTGCTTCACCAGAGGGACCACAAGTCTCCTGCCAGATGGCAGTAGCCTGAAAGATGGTAGTAGGGGGTGTGTTGGGTCATTGTAAACATTGTAAACTTGTAAACGTTGCATTTGTTTGGTGTGGTTTACCACCTGGGTCAGGTTTTTCCTATCTCTAACCAGGAGCATCCTATTCCAAGAGACCATGTTAAAGGTGAGAACATCAAAGGTGACATTGTGTGTCAGGTACAGCAAAGTAGGTCAGGTACAGTCAGGTGTGTCAGGTACAGTCAGGTACAGCAAGGTAAGTCAGGTACAGTCAGGTGTGTCAAGTACAGTCAGGTGTGCCAGGTACAGTCCGGTGTGTCAGGTACAGTCAGGTGTGTCAGATGTGCCAGGTACAGTCCGGTGTGTCAGATACAGTCAGGTGTGTCAGATGTGCCAGGTACAGTCCGGTGTGTCAGGTACAGTAAGGTGTGTCAGGTGTGCCAGGTACAGTCAGGTGTGTCAGATGTGCCAGGTACAGTCAGGTGTGTCAGATGTGCCAGGTACAGTCCGGTGTGTCAGGTACAGTAAGGTGTGTCAGGTGTGCCAGGTACAGTCAGGTGTGTCAGATGTGCCAGGTACAGTCCGGTGTGTCAGATACATTCAGGTGTGTCAGATACAGTCAGGTGTGTCAGGTTTGTCAGGTACAGTCAGGTGTGTCAGATGTGCCAGGTACACTCAGGTGTGTCAGATACAGTCAGGTGTGTCAGGTACAGTCAGACACAATCAGGTGAATCAGATTTGTCAGGTACAGGCAGGTTTGACAGGTACAGTCAGGTGTGTCAGGTACAGTAAGGTGTGTCAGATGTGGGTGGTACAGTCAGGTGTGTCAGGTACAGACAGGTGTGTCAGCTACAGTCAGGTGTGTCAGATGTGTCAGGTACAGAAAGGTGTGTCAGGTACAGTTAGGTGTGTCAGGTACAGTCAGGTGTGTCAGGTACAGAAAAGTGTGTCAGGTACAGTTAGGTGTGTCAGGTACAGTCAGGTGTGTCAGGTACAGACAGGTGTGTCAGGCGTGTCAGCTACAGTCAGGTGTGTCAGATGTGTCAGGTACAGAAAAGTGTGTCAGGTACAGTCAGGGGTGTCAGGTACAGTCAGGTGTGTCAG